GCAGAGCTTGACTGGCAAAACCAATCTGTGTACTGATTCTGCTGCCGAGTCTCCACTGAGAAGGTTTAGGCTCAAAAAAATTCCAGTATTTCAGCCTGTATTCAGGATACTTCAATTTTTTTGGAAGCTTCTTCTTGAAATCTCACTATGTACAATATTTCAGAAAAGTGGGGAAAGTTACAGGAGAATTTCCTCCTCCATCAACCCTCTGAGAAAAAGAAAACACATTTTCACAATACTCACTTTTGGAACTGGAAAAATGCTACCTTGCTTATGAGAATTCCAGGGTTTTCCACCTGTCAGGCCTGACACAATTCTGCTGCACAAGCCTGAGATATTTGGTTCTCCATGTGTCGGGGACAAATGTCGTACATACTGATTTGCACAGAAAACCACAGAAAGCACTCTCCAGGGAAAGCCAGCATTTTGACAAGACTGAGTGATAACTTAGAACAACAGGGGTAAGAACTATTGTGTGAGGTTGTCCATGGACCCAGGCAGATCTTGTGCCAGGTTACTGAGAGCTGCTGCATTAAAATATCATTTGAAATTTAGATTCTTTGTAAAACATCAAAAAAATATGGGTCAGAAAGCTACTAATGGAGATCCTAGGGAAGAGACTGTCACTAAATCACCCCGAAGGCTTACAAGTGACTAAAAGAGAAAGAGCATTGGAAAAGTGGTCAGTTAAAATACTAGTATTAAAAGAAAAAGAAAAAAGGAAAATATCTTTTAAGAATCAGCACATGGTTGTATTGATGGGGTCCAGCAGTCATTATCTGTATTATTATCTCCAGTTACGCTTATTATATTTGAGATGAGAAAATATTAGTTTTGATGCTATAATAAATTGTAGGGGACAAGACTCTTGGTATGATGAAGAAATTAATCAAAATATCATATTACTTTACTGTTGGGGCTTTTCTCTTGAAGACTGAGAATTATCTTACATATAACCTTAATAATTTTTCATAAAACTTGAATCATCCCCCCCACCGCCAGATATTCTGGCCATTTTCAACCCTCCTCTAGCCTCTAATTCATGTGTTGGTCCCCTCGCTCTCAGCAAATGATCTTGCTCTACTGAGAAGACAACTTTATTTCAACACTTCATTTGGTCTCTGCCTTCTCTCAACCTTGTTCCACCAGTTCCCCTTCTTTTTCCTCTGTCTTCAACCTCTCTTTCCTCTGGCTTATTCTGTTCTGTTCCTATAAATTAGAAATCTAAGAAAAAGTCTCACCTGGCTTTATACCCCATAGACTACTTTTTCTCTCTCCATCCCTCATCACCAGCTTCTTAGAAGTGCAATCCACACCACTGCCTCATCATTCATGCCCCCTACTACCTCTTGCTGTTTGCTGAAATTATTTATTTTCTCAGAAATCTCCAGTGATTCAATGACATTTCTCAATCATCCACTACTCACACCAGGAGTAGCTGTGTGTGTTTGCGTGTGCTCATCTATTTAAGCATAAGGTTATATGTGCTTGTATCACTACCAATTTGAGAGACCAAATGGGTTTTTCTCTAGCTAAAATGTCAGGTAGGGAGAGGGCGTATGGAAGAACCGGAACCCCAAGCCCCAAATGGAGTGTTAGAATTTGCCACAAAGAGATAAGTGGAACTAAAGTGTGACAAAGGCAAATAAGACCAAATCCCTGCTAAAATCAGAGGTTTAAGAAACTGGATTTTGTCTCCATCCCTTCCTATCTACATGGTGTCCAGTGTGTTCTCCTCATACTCTCACAAGAAGTCTCATTGCTTTTTGGCCAGCCTTGGGCCCAGGTTGTCCTTACAAACCCAACCAGGTATGCACAGAGCTGGTATGAGCGTGTCCACCACAGTTCCAAGAGATTGTCTCCTGGGAAGGTGCCACAGAGTCTTGGACATTCTGTGTAAGATCGAGCCCTGCCAGTGAGCTAATTAGATGAGTTTCTTTAAGAGCTCCAAGCTTAGCAGTAAGAGTGGGTTGCTAATTTCCTGAGTCACCTATTCAATTCATTTGTGGTCCCAGCAAATATTCCATCTCGTAGGTTACACTGCCTGGCTTTATTTCGAAACTGTTCCATTTCTTCACAGGGTAGATTGGAATGTGCAAAGTAATAGCTTTTCTCTTTTGTGTGGGATATCGCTTATGAAGTAAAGTTCAGTTCTTTGTGCAAAAGGAATTGTGGGAATGTCAGAACAATTTTGAACAAAACTAGATATTCAGTTAAAAGCCTTCCCCTCCGAAAACCTAAAGTTCTCACTAGAAAGATGAAGAGTCCCTCTCAGCACAGAGGGTACCCCATAACTGGGGAGGCAGGGGAGAGAAACAGGTTCTTCATCCCTATTTGTGAGCCTAGGAAACCTCTCTGGGAGTGCAGATGAGCTGCAAGTCATCTTCAGAGCTTAGAAATGCAAATAACTACAGAGAAGAAAGTCAGCAATAAAGCTGCCATGTTAGAATTTTGTAGTTTAAGAATAACTTTACTTTTATTCCACAAGATCCTAGGGAAAGGAAAATGCTGTTAATTAAAACCCCCCAACTGAAGCCTCTTTGTTTTGATGAGATACAAGGTCTTGACTCTATCCAAGAAGGAGAAAGAGATTACTTAGCAGAGATGATTGCTACCTTCCCCTCCTACCACTACCTGCAAAGAGTAAGGGTTGTAGCAAATGTGAACACCTACCCACTACTAAAGAATACATCTCTGCCATTTTGCCTATCATCATTAAGGATCTATTCAGCTAGAATAATGAAATTGATTCTATATCTGGCAAAATGGGATCTGGCTAATTGTCATGCCAATGCATAACATTTTATTTCTGTTGTCCCTTCTATACCAAAGCTGGTTGTTGAGTTCAATATTCCTTCCTCTAGGATAATTTTCGGTAAATAAAAAGTCTATCTACAGAAATTCATGATGGATATAGTTTCCAGCTGACTTGTTCATACTTAGGGTCAGGTTTGGCAAATATATCACTTGTGTCTTTCATGCTTCTTTTTCTCCACTCACCCCTTAACTGTAAATGTCCCTAAGAATCTCTTATGAACTCTCTTCCTTGTCTATATACCTTGCCCAAGTGCTCGGCCATTCTTGTGGTTTTATGTTTCATCTATATGCTTATAAGCCCCAAATTCTTTCTTCTATCTTAACTCTGTATAGTTCCAGCCTTTTATTTCCAGCTTTCTTACTGAAATTTCCATTTGAAATTCCACCTATTTAAGTCAGCATGTCCAAAACCAAACTTACTATATTCCCCTGTCCACAAACTAATTTCTCTTATGCATCCCCACCCATTAATTGTCTAGGATTGAAACCCAGAATCACCCCTTGCTGCCTGTCAAACACCAAGACTCATCAATTCTCCATCCCAAATATCTTGGACATACAGTCTCTTTTTCTGTGTCCTCTCTGACATTATCTTTTATATATTCACTCATTAAAGCCTTGCTATATTGTAACACTGTCCTAAGGGCTAGTGACACACAGGGAAGATAAAAATCAATGAATTAAGTGAAGTACAAAGCACCATGGCCATTGACCTATCAGAACCCAGGATGGTGGATGTGCTGGGTGAAGCAGGGTATACAGGAGTTTGTGAGTCTGAATCTAGGATTCTTTCTATTTCAGTATAGCTAATTTATTGGTAGAACATTTGGGAAAGCCTCTAGCCACATGTCCATTCTGTCCTCTGCCCTGCTGCCTGTGCTTTATTTCCAAAACTAAAATCAGATTGTCACTCTTCTCATAAAAATCCTTTCCTGGCTCCCCACTGCAGCAGAACAAGTACCAAACTTCTTGATTCTACTTACAAAATCTTCAAACTCAGCTTTTGTTCCCCATAGCACTATTCTTTTATACAACGTAGTTACTAACTTCACAGTCCATGAACTAGGAAAAGATAAAAATGAAAATGCCCACTCTGCCTTAAAAAATTTACCATCAGTATCATTCCCAATCATCCTCTTTACCCCTTTGGCAATCAACTCAATGGATCATTTTCCTAATGATGCTTTTCACACTTTGCATAACTGTTTCAAGTATCAAGACACTGAATGGTTTTGATGAACACAGATAATCAGTGTGTGATTATTTACTGTCCTGATGTATGCTCAGAGGCTCCATACAATATGCGTGCATACAGTAGCCAAGCAGCAGGCTGCCAGAAACAAGTCCTTCAGTCCTGCTTTTAGGAACATAGGGTTCATCTTTATAGATGAGTATAATCAGGTGCCAATCAGGTGCCAACCACCTCTCCCTTCACAGGAGTAGGCCATGTAACAACATTCATTCATTAATGCATTCATTCACTCAGTCATTCATGCATCAAACTCTTACTGAGCATTTGCCAAGTACCCCGTGTTGCAAAGATGTGCCCTGTCTCCAGGGAGCTCCCAGTGTCTTCTGTGATAAGTTTTGTGATTTCATTCAAATACAGGGATCAAAAAGGAGTGAGCCAGATTTCTGCTGAGGAATTGGGGTCCTGGGGGACACTTGAGAGGTTTTTAAAGATTGAAGAATGGGGCTTGGGGGAAACAAGAAGTTGTATGTGTGGGTATGTGTGTATACATTTAAGGAATGGGGGGAATGGTAGCTCATGGATGGGAAAGAAATTGCTGCTCTGGTAAAGTGAACCAAAATGCAAATTTAAAAACTACATGATTTGGGTGATTTGGGGAAATTATGGCAAGTTCAGTGTGACTTGAGGCAGGCAGCAAAGCGTGAGCAGGGGATACAGGGGGAGATGCTGGAAGATAAGCAGGGTGCAGATTATAGAAGACTTGGACCAAGGAGCTCAAACTTTCTCTGAAAGCAGTGGGAAGCCCAGAGAAATCTCTAAGCAAGGGAGTGACCCATCAGATTTTTTTTAAATGAAGGTCCAATGTGGAAACCAAGGATAGATTGGAGAAGATGAGCATTTAATGAATCCTTTTTAGAGGTGACCACAACCAGGGAAAAATCCATGGCTGTGTTTTAGCTAACTCGGCATTTTTGTGTGTGTTTCCTCCTAGTGACAGTGCTGGCCATTTTCCATGAACTGCATGTTGACCCCGACCTGTACACACTCCTGTTTGGGGAGAGTGTGTTGAATGATGCAGTGGCCATCGTCCTCACATAGTAAGTACCAGAACTTGGCCTCTGTTTTTTTGACCATGTGAAATATGCTTCCAGTTGGTGGTAATTCCCAGTGGCTTTAGAGTATCTTTTCTCTTATGTCATAGAGGTGTGGCAATTTCTTTTTTTTAAACAATTGCTACCATAGAAAATCTCTAATAATGGGTATAATTCATTAAGTACCTAATTTTTAGCACTATTAATGAGTTTCATGTTTCCAACCTATTACAAGATACTACCCAGAGGGTAACTTTTTTTCCTCAGGTGCATATATTTAGCTGATTCACTTAGAGTTCCTAAAATGCACATATGAGCTTCCCTCATTTCAAATCAATATCATTTAATTTTTTCCTTTATGCAAACCATTTTCCAGATAATGGACTAATGCTAACCATTGGATTTATAGTAAGTTTGACATATTGGAGATAGAACCTGAGAGTCAGACTACTCTTTATTTCTCAATGCAAATGTTATGTATTACAGGAACACACACATCTTTAAATCCTCATGTGACATGTGACACTAATAGAGCTTCAACTAAGTGCTAACGTAATTTTCTCTTGATCCTAGAAGAATTTTCTTTTCGAGATGAGAACTGGTGCTCTTTTATATTTAATAAATGCCACTTTGGTGGCTTTCCCTATGTCGGAGGTCTCTTCTTGGTTTTAGATTAAGACCAACATTTTGGGCAACTGTCAAATACCCCAAAGGAAAATAGCTAGCTGACAATTAAATATGACAACAGGACTCAATTCAGGGTGTTAATCACTTCAAATGCATTTGAAAATGTATTGTGAAGTAACAAAAGATGTTTAAAAGCCAGATCTCACAGAGGAGAGTAGGAAACTGTAGAATAGCACTACTCTTCTACCAGCTGACATTTCTTAAGGCCATCACCCAAAGTTGCCAGTGAATTCTGCAACTTTTAAGCAAGGTCTTCAAATAAACTTATATTTCACCTGGCTGAAGAGGTGCCTTTCCTGCATTAAAGGAAAATATCAGGTGAATGAAAACTGAGAGCAAAAGCCATGGCAGATTCACAAATGCTAATGGATGCTTTTAAAGAAAACACCAAGAACAATTAATTAGAACATCAGGAATCTCTGTCCAAGAAATACGAGTACTAAAGGAACATTTGGAGTAAACATTTTTTCAAATCTGCTGAGTCCCTCATTTTTGCTTCTTGGGATGCCAAGTTGTAAAAGGCCAAGCAAAACGAAACCACTAAAGCACAGATGAGCTTGGGAAAGAGTCACACAACTACAACCAAGGGAGAGTTTGGCCTTTCCACTTTCAGCACCATCATTCACTAGTTTCCCACTAAAAATGCAGACTCCAAGGATGAATATTGATGCGCTTGTGTGAAAGCCCCAGGGGCATTTGAAACAGTCTATTTATTATTTCTTCAGGTCAGTACATGGTTATTATGGCTGTGCCTTTTCGCTCATCTACCCACGCATTGCATGCCTTCAGAAGTGTTTCACACCATGCCAAGATCTCTTCCTTACTAGGCACAAGACACTTGCCATTCTAGCCAAAATCTTATGTTTCCCAGATTTGGCGATTGAGGTGTCACACAGAGTGACCCGCAAAAGTTCCACCTTTAAAGTAAAAGGAAAACTAAAGTAGAAATACTTGACATGGAAACTTCCACACGTTCAAACTGCAGGCTCTTTCTTCTACCTGGTGCACCTGGACCCCACTGGCCCCTTCCTTAGCTCTACTGAGAGTGTGTACCTACACCATCCTGGATATGGACTCTCTGTCCACCAGTGCCATCTGTGGTTGGCCACATCCTCCACCCTGCGCAATTTTCCACAATGTTGTACTCTTTGCTCACTTGCTTATGTGCTTTTTAAAAGTTTTGCATGACTTTCAGACCAGAAGTTCAAACATTTGTCTCTTCACTTTCCTCTTCCTTCACATGAAACTGTGCACCCTGACACAACTCTCTGCCTGGTAACTCATGCCTTTTTTTTATACGCACAGAGTTCGCTCCTCCCCACCTTGTTTCTGCCTAGTCAGGTCTTTCACCACTTACCTCAGTCTCCTTCAGGAACCACTAGCCCACAAGCTGAGCCCCTAATCTAGCCCTGCATGAACCTCCATCAATTCCCTTCCAGCATAGCAGGGCAATCTTGGGTTTACACTTATATTTGGCTTTTTTTAGATAGTAACTTTTTTTTTAAGATTTTATTTATTTATTTGACAGAGAGAGAGAGATAGCGAGAATTGGAACACAAGCAGGGAGAGTGGCAGAGGGAGAAGCAGGCTTCCCGCCAAGCAGGGAGCCTGACGCGGGGCTTGATCCCAGGACCCTAGGATCATGACCCGAGCTGAAGGCAGATGCTTAAAGACTGAGCCACCCAGGCGCCCCAGATAGTAACTTTTTGAACAGAGTCTATGTGCTTCAAATGCATATTAAAAGTAGAAATGAGGGGCGCCATGGTGGCTCAGTTGGTTAAGCATTTGACTCTTGGTTTTGGCTCAGGTCAAATGATCTCATGGATCAAGGAATGGAGTCCAACATTAGGCTCTGTGCTCAGTGGGGAGTCTGCTTGTGGATTTTCTCCCTCTGCTCCTCCCCCCACTTAGGTGCACGCTCACGCAGGCACATGCATGCTCTCCTCTCTCTCTAAAGTAAATAAATCTTAAAAAAAAAGAACAAATGAAATCCCTTTTGTGTTTTCCTCTTCTTAGTTCCATCTTTGTATAGTTTTGAAGTTTAAGAGCAGTGATAGAGCTCTTCTTGTACCATGGAAAAGAAAAGTTATGCATTTTGATGTGAAATCAAGTTTAATAAAGAACTCAAATCATCAACCACTGTGGCCGTTGGCACAGCCTCCAGAGCTCCTTTGGAATGGCCACACAATTTCATTTACATTCCCATCTCCCATCACTAAATATTCTTGTTTAATGGGGCTCCTGGGTGGCTCAGTCATTAAGCGTCTGCCTTCAGCTCGGGTCATGATCCCAAGATCCTGGGATTGAGCCCCATGTTGGGCTCCCTGCTCAGCACGAAGCCTGCTTCTCTCTCTCCTTCTGCCCCTCCCCCTGCTTGTGTTCCCTCTCTTGCTGTCTCTCTCTCTCTCTCTGTCAAACAAAGATAAAATCTTTAAATAAATAAATAAATAAATAAATAAATAAATAAATAAAAATATTCCTGTTTAAGAACCATCCTTTTCAGTTTTAGTATTTTTAAAATTTTAATTGTTAGTATTGTGACAATACTGTGCTCTAGGATTTCATTCAAATATATAGTAATTTAGCCACAGTTTAAGTCAGCTTTTCTGTGCTAGTCTAAGAAGCCAATGGCAAATTATAATACTGTTTCTTAGGTTATATGTGCTCTGAGTTTCAGACAACTAATGTACAATTGAATTTGATGACAACTATTGTACACAGCAGCAGGTGGTGGATGGTGTCCCTATGGCTTAAAATGATCCAGAACTGTTCATCTTAAAATAAAATTGACTTTATTTAACAAAAATTTTGAAATTAGCTTGTCTTTCTCTGACCCATACTGTCATTTTAAGTATGTAGGGAATGCCATGCCCAAACACATAGAATGTGTATTGGTTCATAAATGAATGAATTCCACGTGATGGTTTTGCATTTCTAAAGATTGTTTAATAAGCTATGAAGGGAGGCAAAAGACATATTGAAGAGGTCTTGAAGGATGTGTGTTTTTGAATCCTGAACAAAGATGTTGCTTTCAGAGGCAGTATGGTGGAGTACAAAGAGCCCTAGATTCAAGTCAAAAAAGAGCTGGTGTCAGGATTGCTACAGATTAACTGTGCAGTTATTACAGTTGACAGGAAACCAACCCAAACCGGAGTAAGCAAAAAGGGAATTTGTGTTGGCTGATGTCACTGAACAGCAGGAGTAGAAATGGCAGCAAAGGACCCAGTGAAATGAGCAGGAACTCTTTTTTTTCTCAACTTCTTCAGGGGTTAGCTCCCTCACCTGGTCACAAGTTGGCTGCCAGTATCTCTGAGGGCTGTGCCTTCTTTCAGGAGAATGGAGCAAGCATCTTTGTCCCATTATTCCCAGTCCAAATCTTAGTACACTTTATCGATTATAATGCCATTTCAGACCCACTGTGGCCAGAGAAATGTCCTGCATTTATTGGCTCAGCTCTAAGTCACATGCTTCATGAGTTTAAGACTGTACTCATTTTCACTTGAAAGCATATAAACTAAGCCTGGGGAAAGGTGGGATTATTGCTCAGAGTGATATTGCCACAAAAAAGAAGTGGATGCTGTACAGAAACAAAACACAACCAAACCTAGAAGACCACAACAGTGACTGTATGTGACTATAAACTTTCTGTGCTTGTTTCCTTACCTATGAAATGTAAGAACAGTTGTTTTGTATACATTACAAAATTATTTTGAGCAATAAATAAAGCATTATAGTTGGAAAGACTCTATAATCTCCAAAATCTATGTAATATATGCTATATAAAGATATATATACTTATAATTTATATAATCATTTATATCAATATCTTTCATTCTACTTACACATATCTCTTTGCTTTCATTAAAATGACTAAGGATAGACCTGCTTCTAGTGAAGCATTCTTTCATAAATACGGCATTTTATGATCCAAGGAATATAGAGAATAACCATTTTCACATGTGATTTCCGCCACTAAGAATGAAGCACTTAGTTAAGGCATACTTTCTAAAGTTGATAAATCAAGAAATAGAGGTTGAAGCATATTACTGAAAGTTATAAAGGCACTCACAACCAAAATTGATATTACTCATGGGAGTTAGTTGGAAGAAGGGAGAGGGAAAGGAAGGGATAAGTTAACTAAAATGTCACATCTCTCATAATAATAAATCAATATATACTATGTGGAGTCGATAAATCAAGAAATGGAGGTATATCCATATTATTTAGAGTCATAGGACAATCATCAGAAGAACGAAAAACATAAATGGTTAAAGGAGATACTTTTGCTTTGTAGAACTCTGATTTATACAAAGGGGGAA